AAGTAGTGTCCTTTACCTTTGCTATATGGTATTTCTAAATGTTTGGCTACTTATAGGCCTTTGCAAAACACTCTCAGGTCTCTCACTAGAACTACATGTGGAAAATTTACATGGAAAGACCTGATACAAAGATCCTATTACAGAATTAATATACATTTTTCGCTCAAGATCCATTATCTGAGGTATTCCTCTAGACTTCCTCATTCCAATGGACTGTTAACTGTGGGAACCCACACTGGGTTTAGTGGGACAGGCACCATTAGAAGTCAAGCAAACTCTCAGCAGGTAACTTTACTACCGGGATGGGGCTCACAGGTACTACAGGGGATACGGTCTGATCATGTGCTGGCAACAGCCTAAGGAGGTAGCATGGAAGTTGTGAGTACTACATTCTGGACTTTTCTAGCTCAAGACTTTCTCAAAAATGGATGTACAATTTCTTTTTCTAGACTATGACCTTGCCAGTAGACTTCTAATAAATTCTTTAGTCAAAGTTTTGTTCTGTTTTTCTTGCAACTAAATCCAAAATGACACAAGGGAAATAATTTTATATTATCTCAAAGTAAACAAAACTGACTGAAGGGGAAGAAGAGGTAAGAAATGGGAGACACACAGAACTTGGGCCTTGGTAAAATATTTAACATATCTAAGTGTCAGTTCTTTCACTTGTGAAATGGGGATAAACTCCACTTCTGTGATAAAGTCAAGGATATTTTGTAGGCAAGACACAACAAACCCTGGAACCATCTTAATTATAAAAGGGATTTCTATAGGCAAGCTATGATAATCCAAAGAAACAAGTGTAAACAAGTCTTTTCTCTCTGTCTCATCTCTGTCTCCTTCTCTAGACATATTAATCTCCTTTCCTACTGCAGATAAGTTTAAATTGCTAGAGAGGGAACCAGGAAATTCTGGACCCACAACCGCACAGCTCTAAGGTCAATTCAAGCCTCTGTCACAGCAGTGTGTTGTAACAAGACCCAAGAGCTCTGAGCAGCCAAAGCACATGTGTCTGAAGGTAAGAGAAGGGAACATGACTTTTGAGTATTTAGTTTTCAAGTGCTCTTGGAAAGCAGGGATAATTAAGGAAAGCAGGTTATATTCCACTCCAGGGAACTTTAGGCATCATTGTCAGCCCTTAGGCTGGAAGAGGTGGATGGGAGAACCCTCTGAATCTACGCTGTAAATCCAAACATTTGGGTGCTTCCCTGGTGGCTAAGGGGTTAAGTCTCAGCACTACCACTGCTGAGTCGTGAATTTGCTCCCTGGCCAGGGAACTAACACACATGGTCTTGTCTGCTGTTCCTTTAGCAGTTTATTTCAGTAGATCTGCCTGTTCTGTTCTCCTTTCTTTCTTTCTGTGGTGGATCCTCTCACCCACTGCACCTCTAGCCTGCACCCAAGTTCTTCTATGCAATAAATAAATAAATGTAAAAAAACAACAACAAAGTATTTGAGTTGCATTCAGAGAATGAGAGTCTCGTACCCATATTGCTCCAAAGGCCACGCTGTAGTCCACGTGGCACTGCCAGTCCTCTCTACACCACACAGGGTCTCCTGCATATCTCTCCCTTGTTTAATCAAGTAAGTCAGCTTCTCTTATCTTCCTGGAAGGAGAAGAGCTCTTTTCATGGTAAGCAAAGAAGGGAGAATTGACATTTAATTTTGCACTAGTGTCCAATTTTACAGCATTGATTTTGAATTCCAGGAAAAATACAAGGATCAATCCTCTCCCCTTTCTGACCCTGGTGGACAAGTTTGTATTGCATACAGACTCATAGTTTCTTGTGAAAACACTTTCACTAATTCCTGCTACAGGACTAGCTAGCAACATAATTAAATTGTGGGACTCCTTGGTCTTAAGTTATTAAGAATTTCAAGTTGCAACAGTATAGTGTTAAGTGTGGGGCTTTTATAAGCAGGAAGCCTGTGAGACTGCATAATTTGCCTGCCCACAAAGGAGGGCGGGGAGGGCTATGTTCAAGTTCAGTTCTCTAACCACAGGTGCTCATAAACAGTCAAGTTCAGGGCAGGAAACAAACAGCAAATCATTCTGACCAAAAGCAAATCAACCCAGAAACATGCAGTGCTCCTGGTCTAGGTGGCTTATAGTCATCCCTCCCCCAGTTCTTTGAGACATCTTACATAATTAGAAGATACTTGGGAGAGGTTTTCCCAGAATAAAGGATTAGTCTCATTAAAGACTACTAAAGTGTTTATGCTTGCCACACAGAAGTTACTTGCAATTTTCACAAGAGTTAATATTTTCAACTAACTTCTATCCATTAAGGTTTCAAAATTTTCATGTCTAACTCTGCCTAGGCACTCTGGACAAAAACTGAGGGTCCTTCAATCCCATAGGTTTCAACAGGGAACAACCATATTAGCCTGTCTTATTACTAAAAAAGCAAGTGACTGCTGTAGTGTGTGTGTGTTTCCTATGTTACCAGAGAGGAACGGGAAAGGGCTGGTAAGATGGGATAGAGAGAGTTAATATGATAAAGGTGAACGGTACTGGAACATTAGCAGTGTGTACAGTTTAGTAAATACATTTATTGAGCTATGAAGCTAGATTCCTGATTATATAATCACTTGAGATGAGTGCCTAAAAATCTGTTCATTCCTTCTTTATGTTAAGTGACCTAATTGCTCAACAATAGGGTACTTGGATAAATTGTGGAATAACCATGTAATCCATTTAATGTAAAATATAAAGAATGAAACAGAGCTATGTGTGCTGATATGGGAAAAGAACAAATGAAGCCAAACAACAGGAACAATAGCAAAATTCCATTTTTTTAAATAAGAACAAAATTTTGTCAAAGGTCACAAGACATCACCTTCACCTACTTTAAAAAATTATTTATTTATGCATACAAGAATTGGGGTACAGGCCAGAGGTGGGGGGTGAGAGGATTCACCCAGTACAAAGTAGGGAGCAGAACAGGCAGATCTACTGAAATACACTGCTGAGGGGAACAGTGGGGAGGAGAGGGATTTGCCATACCATGTGGGTCAGCTCCCTGGCCCAGGATTGAATTCCTGCTGCAGTGGCTACAGAGAGCTTCATAGTGCTGTGTTTAACCAGCTGCACCACCAGGGAGGGCCCTGATAAATGACTCTTTACTACTCAACCTGAATTTTTTTTCTTTAGAGTACTGTACTTAGGCTTGTTGAACATTGTCCTTTTTTCAAAACTTATTTATTTATGCATAGAAGAACTGGGGTGTAGTTCAGAGGTTGGGGTGGGATGAGAGGATTCACCAGAGACAGAGCAGTGAGTAGAGCAGGTAGATTACTGCTGAGGGGAGCAGCAGGCAAGACCTGAGAGGTCTGCTGCGCCATATGTGGGTCAGCTCTCTGCCTGGGGAGCGAAATCATGCTACAGGCATGACAGCCTGATAGTGCTGAGCCTTAACCCCTCTGCTACCAGGGCGGCCCCAGAACATTGCCTTTTTATTGTCTGTACAAAGTTCCATGTATTCAGATTTTATTGAATGCTGTATCCTCAGTTCCTGAACATCCTAGGTATTCTATGTAAATTTTTAAAAAAAATGAATGATGGCCCATAAACATATCTTCACATGTGTATTTCAAGTTATATACTTTCAAAGTGCATGAGTGTAAGGGGCTAAAATCCTCTATGATCTGGCATGAAATAATAAAATATCCTGAAATAATGTATGTAAATTTTTTTCTGTTGATAAAACAATCTTACTTGTATTGTCTCATTTGGTCTTTATAATATCTTTATGAGATACACAGAAATAGAAACAATTAATATAGACTTACCCATTAGGCAATGGCTTTGGGCTAGGGTCAAAATCACAAAGTGGCCAGGCCTGGAGCTGGAGAGTATTTGAAAATAGTATTACAATGCTGCAGGACTCAATAAACTGGAGTTAATGTGAGATGATACTACATAAGAGGGAGGATGATTATGTTAAAGAAGCCAATAAGACTTTCAAATAACAGGGCGTCTTGCGTTAAGAGAGCACTGGACCTGACCATTTTGCCTAAAATCTACTTAGTATATTTACTAAAATAAATGTATATTTGCTAAAATACACTAAGGGGTGCAGCCAGGGAGACAGGAGAGGTCTGCTGTGCCCTGTATGTGTTAGGGCTCTGGACGGAGCTCAGGCCATAGTGGTGACAGCACTGGGAATAAACCCCCAGGGAGGCCTTGTTCTCAAAGAATTTCTATGAATTTGGCTTAACCTAAATTGTACAATTTAGAACTTACTTAGCTGCAAATGAATTACTTTAAATAAATATCTACTATGAAAAAAAAAACACATATATTTGTGCCATGTTTGCTAAAATCAGTTTTTCATGTAGGTCCAAATCATGTTTAATTCATTCTTTTCTGTGTTAAAGATTTATTTATGCATACAGAACCGGGGTACAGGCCAGAGGTGCAGGGGGGTGAGAGGACTCACCAAATATAGTGGGAAGCAGGACAGGCAGTGACTGAAATACACTGCTGAAAGGAGCAGCGGGGGGTCAGGAGAGGTCTGGTGCGCCATGTGGGTCAGCTCCCGGGCCAGGAACTGGAACTCACGCTGCAGTGGTTGCGATAGCTTCACAATGCTGTGCTTTAACCCGCTGCACTATCAGGGAGAACCCCAACTCATTCTTTTCTATTTTGCTTTCCATACCACCAAATCACTAAACACTGCCAGTATCTATTCTGTGTATGTGGAGAGGGGGGGAAAAGGAGATACCTTGTAGGAGAAAGTTCTTCCCTGCTTCACACTATGTATTTGTACACTGCAAAACCCTGTTTTGGCCCCAAAACCGGGCTCACTCCTTCTCGTCAAACTGGAGACCCACATAGCTGACAGCACAAAGCACCCCAAAACTCTGGCTTCCCGAGGAAGCTGCCGCAGTGAGTCTACAGGGCAGCGTGGCCCCGCCCACGCCCGAGGCCGCCTGGGCTTGAAGTCCCGCCCCCTCCAAGGACTTCCCAGAACCCCGCGCGGCAGCGTCAGCCGCGCTAAGATGGCGACTCCCATGCATCGGCTCATAGCCCGGAGACAAGCGTAAGTGAGGGCCGCGGGGCGGGATGGGGGCGGGGAGTGGTGCGTCAGCTGGCGGGTGACCCGGCGCCGGGTGCAGTTCTGGTGGCCGGATCCTCGGTGGGGACCTGCCGACGGTAGCCGTTTGGCTCACGCCTGACTGCTCCCGACGAGCTGGGCCCAGGCGATAAGTTTGGGGCTAGTGGGCGAGCGATTTCGCGGAAGCCAGCGCCGTTAGGTCCGTGGGGCGGGATCGAAGGAGTGCCTGAAGAGAGCCTCGCCTTTGGTTTTTGAGGGGTTGGTCGTCAAGTGGTTGATGCCCCCTTACCCACCTCTGCACCCCACACAAGGTGGGGGAAACCTGAAGTGCTGATGCCCCGTTCTCTACGTAAACCTTCAGTTCCCTAAGCATCCTCCAGCCCCCTATGCATTCTCCAGCCCCGCTGGCTTTTCTGACCCTTTCCAATGGCCTTCCCTAGGCTGTGATGTAGACTTTTATCCCAAGTTAGCTTTCCACTTTCGTTCTTCAATAAATACTCGAATTGATTCAGCACCGCTCTGTGCCAGACATTGGGTATAAGAAAAGTTTTTTGAAATGGGGTCCTGCTTTCAGGGACCTTACATTCTGGTGGAAAGAGTGGATCTGTTTTTAAGTAAGTATTTTATCAACTGATAAGAACTTTGAAGGACATAAGAGATAATGAAAAAAGAAAAAGCCCCATATTCAATCGGTTGGACTGAAGGCATCTTCTAAGAGGTGTTATTTATTAAAACAGATTAAAAGTTTGATAAAGGAAGCAGTCATAATAGGCTTTGGGGATTTGTAGAAAGGGCATCCAGATAATAGCATCACTGCTTTCAGACAATCCTTGATAACTCAGCTCTTAACTTGTGGCTGTGGCTAATGAGAGAATCTGGCGCATGGTTTGCTGTGGACAGATAATGCTGGAGTATCATAGATACCCTTTTCTTGTAAAGTCTTTTTTTTCTTCTGCCAACCTCACGCCCAGACAACTGTCTGCCACTTTTTCATCCTCAACATTTCATGGCATCACCATTTGTACATTTATATCACTCAGTATCTGCTAGCATTTAGATATTTGTTTATATTCCTTTGTATATGTTATTTTCTCTTCTCTCCTCCAGCCCTCTCTACCTCTTATGCTTCATGGCAAATTTCTTGATCATAAGGATAAATATGTAAGTGATCACAGTAGTATGCTTGGTAGAGAAAGAAGGTTTTGGATTCAGACAGGAGATAAAACATGGGGTAATGTCACCAGTGTCCACTCTAATTCTCAGGTTTGTTCTTTTAGGTGTTGATTCCATACTTTAATAGGCTCAAACCCTCAGCTTCAGATCGCTACAGAATCTAGAATCATTTATAATCCTCTCAGCTTGAGGTTGATGGCATCATATTGGTTTACATACCGCACCCTGAACCATATTTATGGGATTTTGTAGCTCTGATTGATTTACATCTCATTCTCATCCTAGCACACAGAATGGGTCTCTATAAATAGTTGATAAACTCAGTGGGTGGGTAAGAGAGGTAGATAATGTTGGATTTGCAAAACCAACTGTCTACTGTAATTGTGACATGATAGTGAAACTTTTAGCACCTGAAGTAATTGATATTTCTTGTTTCAAAATTGTTAGAAAATTAAATGTTCTTTTTCTGCCTATGCCTTTACTTGGTGTAGTAGCTGCATAGAAGAAAAGACAAATTTTACTTTTAGGAACTTCAGCCTTCTTTGGAATAAAACATATAGAATATAGTAAATGCTATAGTGGTATGCGAACTATAAGTCCTTAGAGAGTTGGAGAAGGACTGGCTTTTAGAAACTAGGGAAGTCCTGGGGAGTTTGAGGGATATTTTTAGAAGAAAAACAGAAGAGAAATGTATACTTTTCATATTATGTTTATCAAAAACTTTTAATTTCATTTATAAGGAACATAAATACCAAATTTTAAACTTTCTAAGTTATGAACAGTAAGACATTCTTTGTAAAGTCTGATCTAACAGATGAAAAGGGAAAATGAAGACAAGAGAAAGTTTGAATGAACTCAATTAGGAGAACTTTCAGGGACTTAATTTAAATCCGTTGAAATGACATTATTTTCACTTTGTAACTTGTAATTGCATCTACTCATATACTGTAAGTAGATTATAGAATCTTACTACTATCTGACCTCATTTCTTTTACTAAACACTCCACTGGATTTCACTACTCTTCTCTTACTCAGAAGAGAGATATCTACTTTTAATTTAATTAGTAAAGGTAATCATCTAACTTTGACATGAAGATCTCCAGTAAGGATATGCTCACATCCCGAAGTGGCACGTTACATTTTTCATACCTCTCAAAGTGTTTACCTTCATTGAAAGGATTATCATATTTGAAGCTAAACCCTGCCCCCCTTCTAACTGCCTGCTCAATGATTTCAGTCATTTAAAAACCCAGTTTTTCGCTTGAATTGCCACGAAGTCAGGTTTCTCCTGTCTTGTATTGATTTCCCTGGACTTCAATGTCAGACTTACTTTTCCCCTTGTTAAATTTCACCTTGTTAGATTCGACATAGACCTCCAGCCTGTCAAGACCTTTCTGGATCTTGATTCAGTCATCTGTCGTATTAGTCAGCCCTTTCAGCTTTCTGTCAACTACAGGTTTTAACATCTGTGTCCTCATCCAAGGCATTTATAAAATGTTAAACAAGACCATGCCTGCAGCAGAGGACTGCACCCTGCTCACCATCAGTGGATCCACTCTATATTTGCTTCAACCCATTGAGCACACTCTTTGTCCAGGATATTGACCTACCTGATTCTTCTGTTTTGTTCACAAGGAGAGATATTTCCAGATGTCTTGTTGAAATACAAATAGCCAAAAGACAATAAGGGTGCTACTCTAATGATTTGATACCTTGTGATCATGACTTTTCCTTCTGAATGTGTTAATAAATCTAGCCAGAATTTTGCCTGGAATAGATGTCAAGTTCACTGTTTTAGTTTGTGAAGTCTTTTTCCCCATTTGAAAGTCAAAACAGCTTATTGTGTATTTGCATCACTGCCAGAGTTTCTCACATACCAGAGGTAGTACATCAGTTTCAACTGAAAAATCTCTGGTATTTGGGAGAGCAATCACTTGGGCCAGGTGACCTAGCATATTCAGACTGGGTATTCCTCAAGTATTTTCATCAGCTCTTTCTTATTTTGGATGTAATTGTGTTAGGATGAAAGCAAAATAAAATTAGCTCTGTTTGCTAGTTACCATATCATATGATTCATATAATGACATTTTGGTAATCTGTTTGCCTAGCACTCCAAATAGTAAGCCTATCCTTTTTTTTTTTTTTAAGATTTATTTATTTATGCATACAGAACTGGGGTATAGGCCAAAGGTGCAGGGACAGTGAGAGGATTCACCAGAGAGAGAGTGGGGAGCAGAACAGACTGAAATATACTGCTGAGGGGAGCAGTGGGCAAGTCAGGAGAGGTCTGCTGTAGGCCATATGGGTTACCTCCCTGGCTGGGGATTGAACTCGAGCTACAGTGGCTGTGATAGCTTCATAGTGCTGTGCTTTAACCCATTGTGCCACCAGGTAGGGCCCCACTTTTTTTTATTTCTTGTGTTTTAAATATAATTAAAACATTAAAACCATTTTTTATATTCTTCATATTTTTCACTATTCTCAGCTCATTTTTGCAGGAGGCTTTCAGATATTTCTCTTACAGTCCTTTACTACTCTTCAATATTCCTTAGTTATATGTTCCTTGAAAACTACCTAAAATTTGTTTTATAATTTCACATGCTATCCATGTTCATTGTAGAAAAATTAGAAAATACAAACAAGGGAAAAAAGTATTATAATCTTACTAGAAAAAGTCACTGTTTACATCGTAGTGTTTAAATGTTAGGCCATTTTTAGCATTTTAAAATTTTCTTTATTGATGTATAGTATCTTTCTGGCCATTTCCACTGTTGTTGGGTAGTCCAGTTTTACTTCCTGTGATGTTGGAGGAAGTCCATGTTGTAGTTCCTGATACTTCTGCAACTAAATTTTGAATATATCTGCTTGTTTTTGGATGAAATGGAGTGGACATTTTATTAAAGTCAGGATCCTTGAATTTAATTACAAAATTCATTCTTTAAAATGTATAGTTCTATAAATTCTAACAAAATATATTTTTCACCTAAACAGGACCAAATTCTAGGTAGCTGAGCAATTCCATCACCTAAAATATTACTGTGACCCTTTGTAAGTAAACCCTTGCTTCAGCTTCTGTCTCTAACAACCACCTTTCTTTGTGTTCATGTCAATTTACCTTTTCTAGAATGTTGTATGAAAAAAAACAGTCTGTAGCTTTTTGAATACCACTTATTTTTTTTCTAGGTATTTTAGAAATTCATCCCCCTTCTTGGACCTATCTATAGTGTATCTTTTAAACTGCCAGTAGTATTCCATTGTGTAGCTACACAGTGGTGCTATCCTTGAAACATTAGTTCTTCAAGTTAACTTAAAGGTTCAGTAAATGTCAAGTATATATTATTGTCAGAGTTATAGAACCTTGCCCATAATGTGGGAATTTATTGATAAAAAGCCTATCATAAACAGTATATGCGCTCTTAAACCCACACCTGTTTCAACAGTCATTCATTTTACAAACATTTGCTGATTATGTGTTGGCTTAGCATCCACATGGGAGTATGACTTGGCCTGCTGTGTCAGCAGGGTGTGGACGGCATCCAGGTGGAGGATGGTCTACTGTAGGACGTCAGATCCCAAACAGGGTGAGGTGGGGGCATACATGGGGCAGTTCAGCACAAATTGTTCCCCTAGAGGGGAGAGTCGACACAGAGGAGGGGAAGTGTAATTTGGTATGGGATGTCAGAGCCTTAGCAGAAAATAAATGTGGCCACATTGGGTGGCAGTGGGAATCGCAGCCCAAGCAGGGGGAGAGCGTGTGCACATAAAAAAGGAGGTGTGGGCAGAGCATCAGATCAGGTGAGGTGAAGAGATCATCTAGGAGTGTCTCAGTCATGCTGGGTCTTCCTCATGTGTACAGGAGGTGTGCATGTTCTTTTAAAACTTCTATATGACTTTTTCTCTTAATAGAAAAAAAAAAGAGGTCATCTGGGGGTGGGAGGGGTGGGAGGCAACTGGTTACATAAGAATTAACCAGTAAATAACTCTGGTAAGGGTAGTTGGAGCCAGATTTTTGCATTGAAGAAGGGGAAAAAAATAGTCCTGTGAAGTTGCATCAGTACTAACATTTACTGGTATGAATCTACCTATGACTTCAAAATACATAATTACGTAGATGCAAAATGTATATTTGATAGCTGAACAGTGTGTGTCCCTAGCTCTGTCCAGAATGAGCACCTGGGAGCAGCGTCAGAGTAACAATGAGCACACATGTGCCCAGATCTTTACTCTAAATATCATCAGGCTACATCAGACTCACTTCAGGCTGGAATGGACAAAGTGTAAAATGAGCCTGGAGCTTTTTGTTGTTCTGAAAATGAAGGAAATACTTAAAGAACAAAGGAACCAGGTTAAAAGAACACAGAATCCAGCTGAACAAATCTAGACCAATTGGTACATCCAAACCAACCATGGTGGGCCTCCCTGGTGGCTCAGTAGTTAAAAGTCTCAGCACTTATCACCCTGTCACCAGACACTGTGGTCTGAGTTCAATCCCAGCCAGGAGCTGACCCACTTGGTACAATAGATCTCTCCTGTCTTTCCTACTGTTCCCTTCAGCAGTGTATTTCAGCAAATTCCCCTGTTCTGCTCCCCACTCTGTCTCTGGTGAATCCTCTCACTTCCCCTGTGCTTCTGGCCTGTACCCCAGTTCTGTATGCATAAATAAATAAATTTAAAAAAAGAAGAAGAAGAAAGGATAATCCTTTAAAAAATGTGTTGTACGTGTTTTCTACATAGCTGTGTGTGGATTTCTACTGCATTAATATCTACAGATGGATTTGCTGAACATAAGTGTTCAGCATAGAATATGATAATTTTTAGTTCAAAATGGTTGTTCCAGTTTGTATTCATACCAGCAGTGAATGGGTGTTCCTCTTGCTATAGATGCTTGCTAACATTTGCTATTGCCAGTTTTAATTTTAGTCTTTCTGGTGGGTGTCTAGTGTTACCTTGAATTCATTTCTGTATAGCTCCAAGGTCCATGCTGTTAAGCATTCACTGCATTGCCTTGTCATTCAATATAGCAATTGAAGGTAAAGTGATGTGTATTTTTAGTAAATATAATTCCATGTTTTATATTGTTTATGCTTTTCAGGGCAGAAAATTTCAAGTAAAAAATCTAAGACCTATATTCTTTTTTATTTATTTTTTTTCTGTAGTGAAGCGAATAAACAACATGTAAGATGTCAGAAATGCTTGGAATTTGGACATTGGACTTATGAATGCACAGGAAAAAGAAAATACCTACACAGGCCTTCAAGAACAGCAGAACTAAAAAAAGCCTTAAAAGAGAAAGAAAACAGATTACTATTACAGCAAAGGTAAGTTTTTACATGTGACATGCAAAGTAATGTTTTATCTACATTTATAAACTTTATTATTAAGGAGCTTGTGATGGTTATCCCAACTGAGAATATAATACTAGGCAATGTTTAAAGCATTATTACTATGTGCCAGACATTGTACTAAACACCGTACAGCTATTAGATTACTTAAGTAGCACATCTATACCATTCGGTATCACTATTATCTCCACTTTACATATGAAGAAACTGAGGCATGGAGAGGTTCAGTAACTTGCTAAGTGTCACATAGCTAATAAATAGAAAAAGCGAGTGTTCAACCAACCAACCTATCTCCACAGTTCATGTTTTTAATCATTTTGCTTTATTCCCTTAATTGCCAATGAAATGATAGCAGAGTACTATGAGGTAAATTATATAAATAGGTTGGGAAAGCAAAGTAACCTAAGCATGCAAGATACTATATTAAGTGTAGAAAACAGTATATGCATTGTGTATCATTTATATTTAAAAAGAAGGAAAGGGGGCCCTCCCTGGTGGTGCAAGGGGTTAAAAAACAGCAAAATGAAGCCATCTGCAGCCACCACAGTATGAGTTCAGTCCCCGGCCAGGGAGGTGACCCACATGGCACAGCAGACCTCTCCTGTCTTGCCTGCTACTCCCCTCAACAGTATATTTCAGTACATCTACCTGTTCTGCTACCCATTTGTCTCTGGTGAATCCTCTCACCCCCTGCTCCACTGACCTGTATCCCAGTTCTTGTATGCATAAATAAATAAATCTTTAAAAAAAAAAAAAGAAAGAAAAGGGTGAATAGTGGAAATTATTTTGAAATGTAAACAATAAAAGTGTTTCTTTTCTAGGAGAGATTGGTAGCAGGGAAACTAGAAATGTATTATTTACTCTTTTATGTCCTTTGAATAAAGCTTTTATAATTTTTATGACATAAGTAAGTATACATGTTTTAGAGAAACTGAAATGGGAAGATGGAAGGTCTACCTAGTACTACAGGTTAGAAATAGCATCTTCATGAGGCCTGTTAGCTATTTAATAGTGTCTAAAACATCTGGATATGAAGGCAGGTGCTTCCCAATTTATGGACATGAAAGCTCTCCCAGGTTATGCACAAATGGATAGTAATCAATATATATAATACTTATATATATATATATTCCCAAAATAAATCTATCTGAAAATGTGCCTACTGGGTTTCTATGTCCACTTTCCCCTTCTCAGCATCTCTCCTCTAATTTTACAAAAGAAAATCATACCTCTAGGCCATCCTGATTTTACTATCATTTTGGTCTAATGAGCAAAAATCTACAGAAGTTTTAAAGTATTGGTGTTCACACTGAGAAAGTGAATGACCCTAAACATTGAGATCAATTCTTTCATAATTTCTTATCCCCTAGTAATATTGAAGGAAACCTTTATTGAATTGTCAAATAAAAATGTATTTTAATGATGCACCTTCCTGTGACTTATAGAATATGGGAGCCATTCAAATTGAATGACATTACTGCAACAAAGCTCTTTTTTTTTTTTTAAGATTTTATTTATTTATGCATACAGAACTGGGGTACAGGCCAGAGGCACAGGGACGGTGAGAGGATTCACCAGAGCCAGAGAGAGAGCAGAACAGGCCAGCTGACGAAGTACACTGCTGATGGGAGCAGCTGGTGTGTCAGGAGCGGTCTGGCGCGCCATGTGGGTCACCTCCAGGGCAGGCGAGGATCAAACTCATGCTAAAGTGGCTTTAGCTTCTTAGTGCTGTGCCACTAGGGAGGGCCTCCTTTTTTTTTTTTTTAAAGATTTATTTATGCATAGAGAACTGGGGTATAGGCCAGAGGCACAGGGATAGTGAGAGGATTCACCTGAAACAGTGGGGAGCAGAACAGGCAGATCAACGAAGTACACTGCTGAGGGGAGCTGCGGGCGCGTCAGGAGAGGTCTGCCGCGCCATGTGGGTCACCTCCAGGGCCAGGGATCGGACTGGTGCTGCAGTGGCTGTAGACAGCTTCATAGTGCTGTGCTTTAACCCATTGTGCCACCAGGGAGGACCTGCAACAAAGCTCTTTCTATCCCCATCTACCTATTTAGGTTAACAAGTTTTCTCAGGATTAAATCTATGAAAATTAAATGTAGGAATTGAATTGATACTCTCTGTTACCATGGTCTAGTAGTAAGATCTATGAATATGTAAACTGGAAACAAAATCTATTAAGAGATGAATTTTCCAATAAAATTATTTTTATGTGTAATAGAGATTAAAATGTATCATGTTTTATGTTACTTTAATCAATTGTCTAGTAATAGTGGTAATGGTAACTTAATTCAGAATTTTTAAATACCTTTAAAATCTTATGGTTACAGTAGTTAAAAGACACAGTTTCAAATAATCTTTTTATTTTTATTATGAAGAAGTATCATAAATTATCACTAAAATTTTTTGGCTTAATGACAGTGTAAAAGTGCCAACTGTGGGCCCTCCCTGGTGGCACAGCGGGTTAAAGCACAGCACTGAGAATCTAAAGCTGTATGAGTTCGATTCCCCTGCCCTGAGGTGACCACATGGTGCGGCGGACTTCTCCTGACCCATCCACTGCTCCCCTCAGCAGTGTACTTCGTCGATCTGCCTGTTCTGCTCCCCACTGTCTGTTAAGCCTCTCATCGCCCCTGAGCTTCTGGCCTGTACCCCAGTTCTGTATGCACAAAATTAAAAAAAGAAAAAGTGCCAACTGTTTCGAACCCCAGCCAGGAATTGACTCACACAGTGCAGTAGACCTCTCCCATCTCACTTGCTCCTCCCCTCAGCAGTGAATTTCAGTTATCCAGCTGTCCTGCTTCCCACTCTGTTTCTGGTGAATCCTCTCGCCGCCCCTGCACCTCTGACCTATACCCCAGTCTGTATGCATAAATAAGTACATTTTTTAAAATGTCATTCCAACATTTATTTTTGCTTCTCCAGTTTCATTATACACGTATCTTGATTGCAGTAATACATAAAACTACATGAATTAAGATAGGGCTCCACTACATAAACACTGCTGATTTTTGGTTCATTGATAAAAATGCTACAGTGTGTGAATTTCAATGGTCATGAATTCTTGTGTAATTAAATAAATATTTCTACTTATTTTACAATGTAAAATGACAAATCAGTGACTCTTTACATATTATATCTATATATTTGTATTTATATATATTTATATCTGAACATCCAGGAAACAGGGACAGAAGCATTATCTAGAAAATAATAAAGAAGTTCAGGCTATAGAAATGTTAAATTTGCATGCCAGTCCTGGAGTAATAGAAGTAATTCTAATTACTTAGAGCTGCTATTTGATTTAGTATGCTTGTTTGGCAGAAATACAGTAACAAGTCATCTGTATATTTCATTAAAAAATCGCCAGATTCTTCTTTATAAATAGTGTAAGGGAGTATAGCTTGAAATATTAAGTCTTTGGCCTTTAGTCAGGAAATAACAATATGTTAGGGGATGTGCAGAAAAAAAGAAGGGAATTTTAAATTAAAAGTTTGTTTTTCTTTTTATATGACATGGTCATTTATAATATGACTCTGGAAATCCAAATTGTAAGTTACAGCTGTTGTAATGCTATTATTTGTTTTGTTCTGTTGTTTGATAAATAGTTGATTTAGTTGGCTTAGTCTTGTCATTCCAAGTTCATAACTAAAAAAGAAAACTCTGTACAGCTTATTTAGCTTCTAAGGTACAGTTGATGAAATCTGTCTTGCATAAGTGTTCGTTGACTGCATATACCATATGTAGCTTACAGTAGGAAACTCTTCATTTGATATTCCATGGAATAGCAGCCTCTGGATACTGTTATAAAAGACAAAGTATTTCTCCAGTATAAGAGTGTTGGGTCTGGCAGAATGGGTTTTTCTGATCTTTGTGTAATCATTCTACTAATAGCAGCTTTTTTTTTCCCCATGCCCACCCCACCTCATATTTATCAGCATTGGAGAAACTAATGTAGAGAAAAAGACCAAGAAAAAAAGGTATGTGTGGCTTTAGGAGTATTATATAGATAATGTGTGATACTAGTTGGAATATTAGGAAGTGTGATTTTAAAGTAGTAATAATAAGATCTGAAAATGAAGTCTTTTATTTGCAATTCATGATTAAATACCACTATTTTCTGATATGTTCCTCTCTCTACTTGTCTGGAATTTATAGCCATCACTATAAATTCACTACTCTTTTTTTTTCTCCAATTTCCAGAGCCCTTATACTTAGAAGTAGTAAATAATTTCTCTTGGCAGAATATGAAATTTATTGCTAAGAAATTATTGATCAGCTATATCTGGTCTAAAGTAGTTAACATTGTGAAATGTTTACCACTCTCTGTCATGTTTAAATAAACCCAGTTGTTACACTGCAGTTTCATTCTAACTTTATTCACTCAAACATAACATAGTGGATTTACTTACCTTAAACTCCATCAGATTACTAAAGTAAAAGGTCTTGTTGAAGGGGCAGGAGGAGCACTTTGGGGTCACTGTAGTTAGGCCATCTCCAGACCCTCAGTCTAGCCATAACACGCCGGCAGAGCTTTAGTATATACATGTACATGTCATACATGTACACGTCATGCATACGAAGTTGCTTTTGAATTTTGTAGTAATTTGTCAGTGTCCCAGGCAGCTAATGGTCGCTTGTCCAATAGGTCTAAGAGTGTCACCAGTTCCAGTAGCAATAGCAGTGACAGTTCAGCCAGCGACTCTTCCTCAGAGAGTGAAGAATCATCTACCTCATCCTCCTCAGCGGACAGTGACACTGATGAAAGCTCCTCCAGTTCGTCATCTTCCGCTTCCTCCACAAGTTCTTCATCCTCCTCTGATTCCGACTCAGATTCCAGCTCTTCCAGTAGCAGCAGCTCTAGCACAGATAGCAGCTCTGAGGAAGAACCACCAAAGAAAAAGAAAAAGAAATAGAATTGCTTCGCCTGTTTCAGAACTGATGGACTGAAAACATTAATGTGATTCTCAAAAGAGAATCAAGAATATGTTAAAGCCAAATAGATTAACTGGTCAAAATTTCTAGAGTTCAAAAAATTCTAAATGTTCTACATTGTCAGAGCAAAAAGAGTATTAAATGTGAAATATATAAATACTTTTTTATTTTAAGGGTAAATCTTGTTGTTCTTTTTTATCTTTAAATAAATGTCTCTAGGATTTAATCGGAGCTTAAATCCAGTAATTCTCTGTGATGAAATATGTTCTCTCTTCTCCCTGTGAAATAAATGCCATACTTTGTTATATGTTAATGGTGTAATCAGACATGCTTTCAGTATAATGTAACAGACTATCTGGCAATCAATTTCTAATGCTTTTGGCCCAGTGTTATTATGTAAGACTTAATACATTGTTACTGTAAGCTTAGATGTTTTCTTACTGTTAATAAATGTGCTCTGTTTTTTATGTTTATATTCAGAAGTTATTCTGATTTCTTGTCTTAAACGCAAAGTTCAAGGAACCCATTAACACTCCTTTTGGATGATACAAGCTTCAAGTTGCTGTGTTGTATCATTCATTTTCCTCTGGTTCTTTGAGTTTTCCTTTTCAGGAAAGTCACTCTAGAGGAACATAAAAAGGAACAAACTCTAAAATTACTTAGGAGACTAATATTGGTGCCTTTTGATTTAATTCAATGTATCAGAAGAGAAGCAGTTCTATAAAAAACTAACATAAGTAAAAGTGACATAAATGTCTTTGAATATTAATATGCTGTAAAAGGTATTCAATGGAAAAAAGGAGATAGGAAGAGGTAATTTTATAGAAAAGTAGCAATGTTAGATGCCTTTTATTAAGATTTTTAAAAACTTTATAAAGACTACCTTTTGCCATTTTTGCAATTATAGTATGAGAGTTTATATAACTGGTCAAATATGACAGTCTACTGCAAAATATGAATGATTTGGATTAATCTAGTATGTTGTCAAAAGTATATGTATAACTGGAATCAGCATGAAAATTTAAAAAGAAATACTGCAAATTATTTCTTTAAAGTACTCTTGTGAGATTTTTTTGGCCTAACATCAAATTGTGATGTCTTAAATTTTTGAAAAGGTATCATTTGTAGAAAAATCTTGATTTGTATTAAATATAGGTTTTTAAAACAGTGTTCTGTTGTTTTTTTTTTTAAAGGTTTATTTATGCATACAAGACCTGGGGTATAGTCGAGGTATGGGGGTGAGAGGACTCACCAGAAACAGCGTGGGGAACAAAACAGACAGATCCACAGAAATACACTGCTGAGGGGAGCAATGGGCAGGTCAAGAAAGGTCTGCCACACCATGTGGGTCACCTCCCTGGCCAGGGATGGAACCCATGTTTCAGTGGCAGCTTCACAGTGCTGTGCTTTAACCTGTTGTGCCATCAGGGAGGACCCAGTGCTGAGACTTTAACACTTGTGTCACCAGGGAGGCCCCTGAAAATGTTTTGTTTATTTTTATGAGAAAATAGTGGAAATTACTTTTGAAGAAAATGGGTGTCTACTAAAATGTTGAAATATATGTGTTGTGAGTTTAAGGAGACGGTAATTACCTCTAAGTTTTACAGAACCCTCTGCTTTCAATAATTGTAAATTTTCAAAAGATGTTTCAAAGACTCCATATAGGTTATATCAATTGACAAGTAAATTTAATAAATTACTAACTCAACACATTATAACACTCATAGTTGAGCAGTGAACCTGACGGAGAAAAAAAATGTGTGCATAGTTTGCATCATTTGCAATTAAATAAATTTCAGTTTGTGCTCATTTTATCTTAAACTTCTATTATCTTTGTTAGCATACTTAATTCCAGTACTTACTTCTTTTGAATATTTTGCAAATTCTAATTACAAAAGTTTGCTGATACAACCATTAAAAGATGTGCTTGAAGAAGTCCAGAGTGCAGAAACTTCATTGTTCTCTAGTCACATATCACTTAAAAAAAGCAGGACTAATGGCAAAATAGAGATGGATATCCAGAGTTTCTCCCCAAGTTGTCTGTAGGTGGAACTCTGGAACTTGAGTCCCTGGCAAATGTAAGTGCATTATTTCTCAACCACAATCAAAACAAAAAAATCATAGGTTTTTCATTCCAAAAATGATCTATTAGAATGACTAATAGATTTTTATTATGCTAGAATTTTATCCTAGAATCAAAATATGGCTTTAGATCACCAATTAGCATTGGAGATGGAAAATATGCAGAGAAGGTACAATTAGTGGTTTTATTTATTCTCTTAGCTATTTTAATTGTAGATTTACAGAACAGTTGTAAAAATAGTACAGTTTCCATATATACCTCTCATATTGTCCCCTAATATTAGTATGTCATATTACAATAGTATGTGATCAGAACCAAGAAATTAGTTATTTAAAAATTTGACTCCTTCTTCACCAGATTTTCCACTAATGTTCTTTTCTGTTTTATAACACTACCCTGAAAATGCATTCAGTTACTTCAACTCTCCTACAGTCTCTTAACAGATCGTCTTCCCTTGTTCTTCATATCCTTAACAGTTCTTAATAGTATTGCTCAGTTTTGTTGAATGTTGCAGCGTTTCTGGTGTTTTCTCATGCTTGAACTGAGGTTATGATTTTTTGAAAAATCACACAAATGAAGTTCTGTCCTTAGTTCATCTTGTCACAGAGAGGATTCCTAATGTCAACATTATCTACTTATAACTGGTTACACAGACCTTAATTATTTGGTGAAGGTATTTTCTGCCACATTTCTCCATTTTAGAGTTACTGTCTTCCCCTTTTCATTTAAAATCTTGGGGGAGATACCTTGAGGCTGCAGACTGTTTCTCCTCATATATGCTCTCTAATTTTATTTTTCTATTATTATTTTTTAAAGGATTTATTTATTTATTCATACAGAACTGGGGTACAGGCCAGAGATGCAGAGGGTGAGAGAATTCACCAGAGACAGAGTGGGGAGCAGAACAGGCAGATCTATGAAATACACTGCTGAGGGGAGCAGCGGGCGGGTCAGGAGAGGTCTGTCGCGCCATGTGGGTCACCTCCGGGGCAGGCGGGAATCGAATTCATGCGGAAGCGGCTTTAGATTCTCAGTGCTGTGCTTTAACCCGCTGCGCCACCAGGGAGGGCCTCTATTATTATTTTTAAGGTTTATTTATTTATGCATATAGAACTGGGAACAGGCCAGAGGTGCAGGGGCCGTGAGAGGATTCACCAAAGACAAGAGTGGGGAGCAGAACAGGCAGATCAATGAAGTACACTGCTGAGGGGAGCAGCTGGCAAGACAGGAGATGTCTGCTGTACCATATAGGTCACCTCCAGGGTCTGGGATCCAACTCACACTGAAGTGGCTGTGGCCAGCTTGCAGTGCTACGTCCTAACCCATTGTGCCACCAGGGAGGGCCCCAATCCTTATTTTTAAAGATCTATTTTTATTTATGCATACAAGAACTGGAGTACAGGCCAGAAGTGCAGGGGTGAGAGGATTTACCAGAGACTGAGTGGGGAGCAGAACAGGCAGATTGACTGAAATTCATTGCTGAGGGGAGCAGTGGGCAAGATAGGAGAGATCTACTTGGCCATGTGGGTCAGCTCCTGGCTGGGAATCAAACTTGTGCTGCAATGATGGTGATAGCTTTATAGTGCTGTGCTTTAACCCCTTGTACCACCAGGAAGGTACCTGGGGTATAAGCCAGAGGTGCAGGGGGTGAGAGGACTCTCCAGAGACAGAATGAGGAGCAGAACATGTGAACTGCTGAGGGGAGCAGAGAGAAAGGCAGAAGAGGTCTGCTGTGCCATATGTGGGCCACCTCGCTGGCCAGGGATTGAACTCAGGCTGTAGTGGTGATAGTGTTGAGAAATCCCATGCCACCAGGGAGGCCCTATTCTTTTTTTATTTTGTTTTATTCCTTTACTGTGACATTCAGAGAGTGAGCAATAGTGAACAGCTATGTTTAACCAGTCATGATTAATGGGTATTACATTAAAATTAAATGAGACACAATACAAGTTGTTATATGCTAAGAGCCACTTGGGGTAAGGTGAATAAACGCTATTGGACCATGATGATAAATCTCAGCGTGAGCTCTTAACTCTCCCAACAATTCTGAACAAAATAAAAAATGAAAATCATAAAAAAAATTTCTTGTATTGGCTTGATAACATTATTCTCTTCAGGAGTTCTGCATGGGGGGACCTTCCCTGATGCCTCAAAGGGTTAAAATGCAGCACTGTGAAGCTATCTGCAGCCACTACAGCAAGAAGGGAGCTGACCCACACGGCTGCAGCAGATCTCTCCTGTCTTGCCTGCTGCTCCCCTCAGCAGTGCATTTCAGTCAATCTGCCTGTTCTGCTCTCCAATCTTGCTGGTGAATCCTTTCGCTCCCTGTACCTCTGCCCTGTACCCCAGTTCTTACATGCATAAATAAATACATTTTAAAAAAAGTTCTGGGCCCTCCCTGGTGGCACAACAGGTTAGGACTCAGCACTACAAACTAGCCACAGCCACTTCAGTGTGAGTTCCATCCCTGGCCCTGGAGGTGATCTACATGGCACAGCAAACCTCTCCTCTCACCCGCTGCTCCCCTCAGCTGTGTACTTCATCAATCTGCCTATTCTGCTCCCTGCTCTGTCTCTGGTGAAGCCTTTCACTGTCCCTGTATCTTTGGACTGCACCCCAGTTCTGTATGCATAAATAAATAAACCTTTTTTTAAAATTTCTTAGGGTATTCTGGAAAGATGACTCTGTATTAGGAAAATCCATAATAAATTCTAGAATTATGAAAAATGTAAGCCAATACAACTAGATCCCTGTACTAGGAAAATCATACCTAAATAATTAGCTCTCTTGAAGGGAATCAGTGAATATGTAGACAAAAGAGAAAATACTCCTTCACTTCTTTATTCAGACAAAATTTAACAACTCTTCTTATTAAGTATCTGTCTATGCCCTCTGAGGATTCATAGTCTATTAATAAACTAGTACAGATAGGTCTTAAGTGCAGCAAACAAGTCACTAGAGAGCTTAGAGTCTTAATTGCTGGAAGAGTTTGGAAAAAAGGCTTTCAGGGGAAGCCTGAGAAAGAGTTGTTGAACATGGCTGAATGCCACTTTTTATGTAAGACTTGCTGGGGTTGAGATTGTAGAGGTGGGAAAATTGTTATATTAACAAAGGTAGTGCATGTCATGCTAAGAAGTTTATATTTTATCTGTGGATGACAAGAGAATCTCACATTAAACCATTTTTTAGAGTGTCAAAACTGGAGTAGAGAAACCAAGTAAGTAACTTTAACTATAAAAAAAGAGTCAAGTCTCAAGCCTTCACTGAGTATTAAACTGTTTGTGACCCAGACTTTATACTCCATTTGTCAGAAATGATACAGCTTTTCTCGTAAGTGTGGTGACGTTAATCTAAACCTAGAAAGAAATCCAAATCCTACTAC